AAGATCCATATGGAGTAGATGAAGAGGACGATCGTTATTGAACTTTGTTTTCGACTTGTGTGAAGCTTTCTTCAGTTTACTCATTTCACACGCGCTGCACACATGGTCTTTATGAAACTTTAAGTCTGGAATTCCTTTAACCAAGTTGTCACAAACCAACTTGTTCAGATTTTTGAAGTTGAGATGAGAAAGACGCCGATGCCACAACAGATTTTGCTTCAAGGATGCCTTGAATATCAAGAAGACTTCAGTATCCACTTGTGTATTTGATAGGTCAATTGTGTAGAGGTTTGATCTTCTGATTCCATCTAGTAGCTCCTCACCATCAGTAGTATGGATGTTGCACTGGTTAGCTTTAAAACAAATTTCTAAATTTTTATCACAGAATTGACTTATACTGAAAAGATTATATCCAAGTCCTTCGACATACGACACTTTCTTTATCATTAAGTTTCCAGAAATTACGTCACCGTATCCATGGATAGGCGCGTATTGGTCATTACCAAATCTTACCGTACCTCCAAAAAATTCAACAAAATTAGATAAGAGTTATTTTCTACCAGTCATGTGCTTAGAACATCCTGAGTCTAAGAACCACACATGCCGGTTTACCTGCATAATGAATCAATTGGGTTTTGGTAACCATTTGTCCTTTCAGATCATATTTTGTTGGTGGTATACTATAAGTACCAAACCAACGCTCTTTAAAATTGATTTTCTTTGATAAAGCAGATAGAGTAGAATGCATAACAGGATAAGGTTTAAAAGAAGTAAAAGACATAAACATCTCATCCAATCTACTATGAGAACAATTATTTTTACTATTCTTGATATCAAACAATTCATTTACTGAATATATGTGTACGGTATTATTCAATGCTGAATTATTTAATAAAGAATCAACAAAACTATTCTTCTTCTGTTGATTCAATGATTTATCTTCATCTTTCACTCTCCACACCTTCTTAAACTTCAATGCGTTATCTGAAATAGGAGAAATAAAATCATTAGATTTAAATGAACGATGAACCTTTTGTTTAATTTTCTTTTCAATAAGCTTCTTCTGTTTCCTCGAATTCTTTTTAGATTTATTCTTTTTACAATACGAATTCTCAGAAACATGTTTTGTATTGAAAGTCTTTTTAAAATCTGAAGCTATGTCGGAATCCTCAGTCATTTCATTTTTAACAATAAAATCCTCGTGACTGGGAAGTTTCTTTGAGAAATCAAACTGAGCAATCTCATCATCTAAACAATTATCTGAGTTCAAGATGTCAGAAAAATTGATTTCTTCATTTAAAACATTTAATTCTTCTGATTCAGAAGTGTCACTTACAGATTTTGTACATGAAAAATATTCAGACTCAACTCGTTCCGGTTTGACTTTAGAATTTTCTAAATTTTCAATTTTATTAAGAAATTATTGTTTTTGTTTATTAAATGAAAGCCTTTCTTCATTCAAAATATTCTCTAACTGAACCACTTGTTTTTCTAAGATTAATGTTGGTGTATAAGGTTTTGGTTCAGCAGGTTTAGATTCAAGCTCTGCTTTTGAATAACTATGAAAATAATCTGTTGAAAGTGCAAATACTTGTATTTTATAGCTGTCATTTAGATTTGTATAATCAAACGGAACTTGCATTTTGTCTTTTCTTTTTCTGTTAAAATCTTCTTGTTCTTCGACTTCATTAGAAGATTTTGTAAATTTAATTTGAAACTCGGGACCACAGTCAAGATATTCAAATTTATACAGGGTTGGGGTAAAATATAAAGCCTTTTTCTAAACGGTTTGGATTTTCATACCCTAACCCTTCCCAAGGGTTAAAAAATCTTGTCTCAGAGGGTTTGTTTAGAAAAATTGTTTGATCAGTTTACCCTCTCTTATATAACTTTTCCTCTTTAGTTTTCAGTTTTTCATTTAAATCTATAATTCGTAATTCAAGCTTACTGATTTTAACAATTAATTCTTCAATCACTAATTCTAAAGACTTATATTTGTCCTTTGAATCTGATAATTCATATTTTAAGATGTTTGATTTTTCATGAAAAGATTTTGATTCAGATAATAAAGATTGTGCCCAATCAAAATTTCCAGCATTTTCATCAAAAAGCTTGATGTATTTTTCTTTTTGCATTTGTAAATCTTTTTCCAGATTATTTGTACGTTGTTTTTCAGATTTTAATTATTGCTGAAAACTTTGAAGTTTGGACATCATCTTTTGCATCTGATATATGCATGAATTTTCCAATACCTCATCATTCAGCTCAACATTCTCCTCTTCACACTCATCAGAAGAATCTATATCAGTCCTTGCCATCAGACAAATGTGAGCCACAGCTTCTGACTCATCTTCCTCATCAGTTAAATTTAGCCAATGGTCATCTTCAGCCATTAATGTCTTTCCCGTATCTCTTTGTTTTGACAGGAGAAACTTATTTTTATAATAGTCGATATTTCTTGTAACCGGCTTTCTACAGTTAACAACAAAATGTCCCAATTTGCCACAATTGTAGCATTTGGTGTTCTCATCTGCCACTCCTTTCACGAACTTCTTATTCTCTTCAGGTTTCTTCTCATACTTTTTCCCATACCTCTTTTCACCATATTTCTTCTTTTCTCCAAATTTGTCTTTAAACTCATATTTTCAACCCGAAGAGAATATTTGATTATTAGAGTGCGGTTTCTTCTGAAACTTCTTCTGAAAGGCTTTGAACAGCATTGCCATGGCCTGTTTAATTTCATTCATTTCTGAGTCCGAGTCAGAGCTATCACTGCTTTCACTAGACGATTCGCTTGTCTGCCTGACCTCTTTTACTTGCTTACCAGACTTAATTCTATTTTATTTTCAGAAACAAAGGCCAAAGGATTAGTAACTTCCTTTTTCTTTTTCTTCTTTAAGTCTCTGATCTCTAAAACATCTTCCTCATTCTGTTTCAGAGTTTCATAAACCTCGTGAATATCAATATCATATAAGGATTTATTAAATCTGATATGATTGGCATAAGGCTTCCACTCCGATTGCAAATTGCTGAGGAATTTAACATTTACTTCAATGACAGTTTTAGAAATGCCAATCTTTATAAGCTCATTCAGCAGTCTGGTTAGCCTGTCATACACATCATCAAGGCTCTCACCTTCTCTAGCCTTGAATTTCTCATAAGCAGAAATGCAGTTTGTGATTTTCAACTGAGTTCCCACCTTAGAACCCATCATCATCTTTTCTATTTGCATCCACATACTGTGTCCAGAAGCTTTATGACTGTCGATACTTGTATAAATGTCATTAGTCACCGCTTGCATCATATAAGATTTGCACAACACATCAGCATGTGCTCTTTCTTTTTCTTCAGCTGTATATCTGGATTTCTCTTTGATCACTCTTTGAGCAGGTCTGCCTTCAGCAGGAATAACAGGTGTTTCTCTCCAAAATACAGCTGGTCCTTCCATTAATGATTCCATTATCAGCTCTCCTTATTTCATACGTTCAATAACATTGGGAAACCTGTCTCTCCATTGGTTATAGTCTCCTCTGAAAAGAACTGGTGGCTTGTTATAAGTATCAACTGCCATCGCTTCTCTTGAACTCATTTTATCTGATTAAAAAGATATCGGATCTTCTGCAGTTCAAAATTTGATTTTAAAGGATTAAAATTCAATAATATCTCAAAAAAATCGCACACAGGAAATTTACACACATTCAACACTTAGAAAATTTAAGCACTCAGACTTATCCGGATTAGAAGTCCAAACAAGCTTATCCGGATTGGAAGTCCAAACAACTAAGTTTGTCAAATCTAAGCAAATCACACAGTTTATTCGGATTAGTTATCCGGACAAAACACTTAGTCAAAAAATTCACAATTAACAAAACTCAATACGGACACAAAAAGTCAACAAGTCAAGAAGTCAAACAAGTCAACAAATTTAATCCGATCAATTATCACAATCAAACTTTTACAAATCGCTTGACAATACAAGTCAAAGTTAAAATCCGCACAAATATGGTCAAAGTCAAAATTCGCACAAGTATGGTCAAAGTCAAAGTCCGCACATTAAATCGCACAATTCACAATATGATCAATATTAAATCACGCAAAGTATCAAGCGGATAACAACTAAATTGCACAAAGTATTGAACGGTTTAACTCTAAATCGCACATAGTTACAATCGATTTAACATTATATAGCACAGAGTGTTACTCAGATTACCAATAAATCGCACACACAACTCATAAATTGACAAGTCACAAATTGCACAAAGTGGTGTACGATTTATCCTAAATAGGTCAAAGAGTTGTACGATTTATCTTCAATCACAAACACAATTTTATCAACTTTTTATCAAAATTTTGGATCAAAACTCGAAAATTTAAGAACTTTTTAACAAACAGAAAGTTTTCTAAAAGTCCAAAAATCCTTCAAAATTGCCTCAAAACTTATTATTTTGTAAAATCGTGTGAATCAATTATGATCAGAATGTAATTGCGAACTTCGTGCACCAAATTTTAACAATTAACACTCAAAAATGACAAGATTAGAGTAGAAAAATAAAGAATCTGTCAAGAACGCGAAGAACACAGGCGATGAACAGTGACTAAAATCCAAAAAATCGTGCAAAATTCCTCGAAAATCGTGTAATCCTTCTATCAAATTGCTACTCCTATGCTCTGATACCAATTGTGAATCCCAAATATCAATGAAATCAGATAAATCTTCAAGAACACAATTGAGAGAAGAGAGAATTTCACCAAGCTTTGTAAGTATATTTCTTGAGAGAGATTACAAAAGTGATTAGCAACAACTAATTACAATTAAGCTACTAAAAATCTATTTATATTAAGAAAGTAATAAAACTAACTATTACAAAATGAGAGAACTTGAATACAATATATTAGCACAATCTTGAACCCAACAAGTTCATTACCATCGGGTTCTATGCCATCGCGGAATAATATGGTTGAAATTTTTGCGAAAATATTTTCCACCCACCAGGAAAACTAAGTCCTGAATTGAAATCTGTCTTTTTAAACAATTGGACGATGAATTTGTTACTGATGCATTGGAGAGGTTCAAAGAACTGTTAAGAAAATTCCCTCACCATGGCAATCCTTATTGTATTCAACTTGAGACATTCTACAATGGGTTAACTCCCATGGCTAAACAAATGCTTGATGCTTTTGCAGGTGGAGCCTTTACATCTAGCACCTATAATAAAGGGTATGAAATTTTTGAAAAGATTTCAACAAACAATGGACATTGGGCTGATTCACGTACCCAAATACAAAAGAAGACTGATAGAATTCATGATGTAGATGCGTACACTGCATTAACATCACAACTCACTTCCATGGACAACATGCTTAAAAACCTAACTTCTGGCCAAAAGTGCAACAAACTTTTACTACACCTGTTCCAATAGTCCTCTCAGTACAATGTCTTTGTTGTATGGGAGAACATTCTTATAAACATTGTCCTCATAATTCTGAATCTGTCAACTATGTTCATAATAGATCTAATCCCTATTCCAACGCATACAATGCTAGTTGGAAGCAACATCCAAATTTTTCTTGGAATAGTCCAAGTTTGAATCCACCTGTTCATAAACAAGAAGGAACCTCAAATTTTCAACCACAACAACATGCAAGCAACTCTAACTCACAAAATCATCACCAAAATTTTCAAGATGCTCAACCTTCTTTTCAAAACAAGCCACCTCCACATGCTAAATCATCATCTTCTTTGGAAGCTATGATAAAAGGCTTGGTGGCTCAGTCTCAAGATCAACAACAATAGCTGAGCCAAAATCACTCTCTTTTTAATCAGGAAAGTGCTGCTATCAGAAATCTGGAAACACAAGTCACTCAACTTGCACTTAATCAAATTAATAGAGCCCTTGGTACCTTGCTCCATAACACAAAAGTTCCTAAAGAACATGTGAAGGTAGTGACCCTTAGAATTGGGAAGGAATTAACAGAGGCAGTGCAAAAAGATCATGAACTAATTTTGTCAAAAACTGATGCTACAACATTGGCCCTTGTTAAGGAAAAACCTACCAAACCTGTTTAGAAAAACAATCATCTGAGGCCACCACTTCTGTCCTCTCAGGATTATGCTACCCTTTACTATTTCTTGAAGATTCCATTAGGAAAAAGTCTGAAGGGACTGAGGTTAAAGAGACCCCTAAGATTGATGTTGAAATATTATCTATGCCACAAGAATGTATAACAAAGACCCAAGGCATACAATATCCATCATGTTCAACATATTCAAGCAAAACTGTTATAAACCAGTTCATCCTCATGTACCTTAACCCCAAAGGTTAAGGAATGAGAAAGAAGAGTTGCATTTTAATAAATTCTTGGATGTGTTTAAAGAGTTGCACATCAACATAACCCTTGTTGAGGCAATTGAGCAAATGCCTAATTATGTTAAGTTCCTCAAAGAATCCTAAGTAAGAAGAAGAAGTTAACTAAATATGAAACTGTAGCTTTTATGAAAGGATGCAGTGCACTTTTGACCAATAACATACCCATTAAGCATAAAGATGCAAGGAGTTTCACTATTCTTTGCTCTATAGGTGGGAAGGAGATTAGGAAAGCTTTGTGTGACTTAGGTGCAAGTATCAATCTCATCCCTTTATCTATTTTCAAAACCTTAGGCATAGGTGAGGCTAGACCTAGCACTGTTACACTTCAATTGACCAACAAATCATTTGCATACTTTAAGGGAAAGATTGTGGATGTTTTAGTGCAAGTTGATAAGTTTATATTTTCGGCAGATTTTATCATTTTGGACTTTGAGGTTGATAAGAAAATTCCTGTCATTTTAGGGAGACCATTCCTAGCCACTGGAAGAACTATGATAGATGTCTAGAAAGGAGGCTGACTGTGAGACTTTAGGACCAAAAAGTCGCAATTAATGTCTTCAATTCTTTTTAATACCCTGACTATTTGGAAGATTGTTCAAAGATTAGTGAGATAGAATCAATATGTCATGAGGAAGGAGTCCAAGAAGCCCTTAAGTTGAAAGAAAACAATGATGAGGCAATAGAGGTAGAGACTGTTGAGGAAGTAGTGTCAATAAGGAATGATGTTTTCCCAGTAGATGCTGAAGCATTTGAGCTGCTGGAAAATAATGAGCAAAAAGACTTCACCCCATCCATCATATCACCACCAGACTTGGAGTTGAAGCAACTCCCATCTCATTTGAAGTATGCTTTTCTAGGAGAAGAAGGCAAATTGTATGTCATCATCTCATCTACCCTAGATTTGCATCAAGAAAAAAAAATGGTAGATATGTTGAAATTGCACACAAAAGCCTTAGGATGCACCATTGTTGGCCTTAAAAAATTAGTCCCTCTATTTGTCAACATAAGATCATCTTAGAAGATAAAAACTTCAAATCCATAGAGCCACAAAGAAGGTTGAACCCTGTCATGAAAGATGTAGTGAAGAAGGAAATTTTAAAATGGTTAGATGCAGGAATTATCTTCCCAATAGCCAGTAATTCTTGGGTTAGTCTAGTCTAGTGTGTTCTGTTAGGATTGAGTTTTAGAGTTTTAATTGTATTCATTCTTGAAAGATTGACTTTGTAATTCTTGATAGTTGACTTTGACTTTTGTATTTTCGTTTGACCTATAAATAAGTCTTGTTTTGAAGTTGGTAAGGAAAGGGGAGCTTAATTGAGTCATTACTTGTAATATTGAGCTTTAGTGAAATAAACAAGACCTTTGAATGTTTGACTTTTTTCTCTCAAAATTCTTATACTTGAAGATTGCCATTTATAGAGTTCTTGAATGAAGATTTATTGAAGTTTGGGACACACAATTGGTATCAGAGCGGATTTGCAGTGAATTTGATTGCAGAAATCATACAAAGTTGCACAATTTTCTGGAAATTCGTATTATTTTAAGATTCATCAAAGTGTTCTTGAGTGTTCTTCACGTTTTTTCATAAAATTCTTCTCAAATCTTTCATTTTTGGGTGTTTGATTGTTAAAATGATGATCATTATGTGTATTTTTACATCGTGAATCATTGTTATTCTTTCGATTTTGTGATTTGATCATCGATATTAAAGATTTATGGATTTTGAAAAACTTTGTGTTCTTGGTCAAAACTCATAAAATTTTGGATTTTGATCCATTTTTGAGTATAAATTCTTGAAGTTTTGTGTTTTTGATTGAAGAAATGTATAAAACTTGAATTTTTGTTAGTTCTGTGACCAGATTTAGTCTTCCTCGCACATAGCATTGACCGAGCTTAACCTTCCTCGCATAACCCCTCATCCAGACATAGCCTTCCTCGGACACAGGCTTGTCTGGATTGCATTTTCCTCGGTCATAAGCTCATCCGATTTGCACATTTCTCGGACATCGGCTCGTTCGAATTGCTCATTCCTTGGACATAGGCTCGTCCGGACTCGGGCTTCCTCGGACAACCTCTTATTCGGACTCAGCCCTCTCGGTTACTGATTCATCCGTGTTTCACCTTATTCGCACGACTCTTTGACCGAGCTCAATCCTAATTCGATTGACAGTTTATATGAAGATCACCAAAACCGCACAACAACTTGTTCGGATTGCACCTTAAACAGCTACCTCGGACACTGCCTTTTCCGAGCTCCATCCTCGTCGGTCACAGCCACAACTGGAGATCTCACTTTCTCGGTCACTTCTACATCCGAAGATCGTTTAACTCGGTCACCACCTTGACCGAGCTCTGCATACGTCGGATAATAGCCTGTCTGGAATCATTCCTTCTCGGTCACAGGCTCATCCGATTTAAGCCTAACTCAGACATTGCCTTAACTATTTTGCAGCCTAACTTGGTCACCTCCTTGATCGAGCTTCTCTTAATTCGTATGAAAGCATGAATGAACTTGTTTATAAGGTGATCGATTGATTTGTTTAATCGGCTACAACCTTGTCCAAGGTTCAACCTAACTTGGTCATAGTCTTGTTCAAGGTTCATAATGTCACCATCTTGAGCAGATTTATTTGGTTTTGGTTGACTTGACTGTTTTCTACACATTGTCACTTTTCAAAGATGACTATTTGAGTTGTTGACCAGATTGGATTTCAAGGAGATTGTTTTGGAATTTTAATTCAGTCTCATGTTTGACTATTATTGTCTAGATTCTCGATTCGAATAATTTTTGAATTTCTGGAAAATTTTGCAAAGTGTGAATCTTTTGAATCGTGTGAGATTTTTGAGTGATATTTTTGGAAAGTATTTCTTTGATCAATTTCTTGAACTGCATAAATTCTTTGTTTGATCAAACTTGATTTTTAAATGACATCAATTTTTGAGAAAGAAAATAAGGATTTGAAAGAAAAGGTTTTTGAATTGGAGATTAGACTGAAAGAATATAAAGAAAAATATGTGACTATGTTTCTTGAAAATCATGCTAACATGGAACGGGTTAAAGAGTTAAAACAAGAGTATAAAAAATCTAAAGAAAAAAATGAATATCTTCAAGCTGAGATTGTTACACTTCTTGGCAATAAAGGTTATCTCAGTAAAAGTCAAATTGAAGATTTTGAAGAGTTAAAAGATTGCTCCTATATGATGTCTAGGATTTGTGATCTTGAAAACACTTTGAATTCTGAAAGAAAAGAGTCAGATGAAGTAGTGATAAGGCAGAACAAAATTCAGCAAAAACTGATAGATAAAATCCGTAAAGTTGAAAATGAACTGAATGCTGAAAGGAACTCTTAAGGAAAGAAGAATAATGAGTTGTTAGAAGCTGAGAAGAGATTTGTTACTGAAAGGAAAGTGTTAGAAAGCAAGATTAAAACTTCAGAGCTGAATGCTACATTGCTTTCTAAACAAATATCAGATTTTGAACAAGTTATTATCTTGGAACGAGCCAAGTTTGATAAAGAGAAGAAATAGTTTGAAGAAGAATGTCAAAGCAAATACTTGGAATTGTTTGACAACATTTTTCAAAAGCAGAAAGCACTAAATGAAGAGAAGAAAGTGTTTGCTTTAGAGAAGAAAAACACTGCTAAGAAAAATGTTGCAAAACTGCTAAGAAAAATGTTGCAATTGCCAAAGAGCTTACAGAGAAGATGAAATGGCTTGACATTACTTCGGAAAATGAAAA